AAAGTCAAGATTAGACGGAAAAGTTTTATACTCCCCCTCATCAGAATTTGCAAAAGGTGGGTGAATCTTGCGGCGCTTGTGTCAAGTAAAAGGGGGCTGACTTGGAGTGGCATTTTGATGCCAGTTAGGCATAAGGATATTGTTTTCCTGGGTTGAACATGGACAACCCCTCCCAATTATTAGGCTAGTTTAGGTTTTTGTAGTTGATTTTTTTTTTTTTTCTTTCCTTTTTGGTAAACTTAGCTAGGATGTGTTTGCTCATTGGCCCTTTTTTTTCTGTCCCCCATTTTTTTTCCTTTGTTTAACTCCCCATCCCCTCCCTCGTTTAGGTGTCAGTGATGTCGGTTCTCTGGTGGATGCGGGGCGCCTTTCGTTTCGCGTGTGTGTTTTTCGTATTTATGTTGTGTATGAGTGTGTGTGTGCCTGTGTGATTGCTTTGGAGGAATGAATGTTTTCTTTATTTTCATAGTCCCGTATCGATTTCGTCCGGTTAACTGATATTTCTGCCACATTTAAAGGTTGGGGGGGGAGGTTTATTACTAACTCCCTTTTTGTTTAGTTTCTTGTAAATATTTTATGTCATATTGTACATACTCATTGGGGATCTTTTAAAAATTGTTGTTTTTTTTATGCCCCTTCCCCACACGAACAATATTTGTACATAAGGGGACTGTTTAGGATTTTCATTGAGATGAAGAGGTATTTTGGTGGATGAAGTATAAAAGGTATGGATAAATGTGTTGTTTTGATGATAGGAATATTGTTTTGTATGACAGGGTCAGTGGTTGTGGCTAGCTAAGTTTTATATTAAGACAAATGATGACCATCCTTTTCCCCCAAACCCCGTTTGGCCTTGTTCCACATTTGTTGTATTTGCGATAATAAATATTATTATTCACTCAGCTTGCTCCACAACTGAGTGTTTATCTTGATCGCGTGATTGTTCTACAAGTTTCTTTATACTTTTCTTTTTTATTATTAAAGAAACTGTTAGCATAGAATTTACAGTTCCATTTAGCCATTTCAACTGTAAAATGATGAGACCTTGCTGCCAATCTAGTACTGTATTTAAATTCATAAAGTCTAGGTATGATAGCAAAGAGTTCAGTCCAACAATTACCATGAAAGTATTTATAAAGGTGTATCTCTTACTTAAAAAATAAAAATCAATCCTTTTTTTATTTTTTTTAATCATCTTTTTTTTAGACATCTCTGCCATTGAAATCTTTAGATTTTAAGCAGAGCATCTCCATTGATGTCGGTAATCTGCCAAACCTCTTTTTGACTATCTGAAGAGGTAAATCACAATCCAAATAAGCCTTTTGAAGATTTTTGTGGGTTTTGTGGTATTTGCTGACAAACATCAGCATTCAACAAATTCTGACTGGCAACTGAATTATGCAAGGTTTCAACGTAGAATACACCAAAACAAACACCAGTGTCAAGTTGCGGTTTTTTTATATTAACAATAAAAATCAAGCACAAACATTAGCAATGATCTGATACATTAACATGTGAATTGACTGTAAAACTGGGCAATGGTTTTGTGCTTTTTTTGCACAACTATTGGAGAAATGATATAAAAACAATAAAAAAGTTTTAAAAAATGCAACACGTAATTGAAATGAAATTGATATTTATTTTGAATTTAAAAACTCCCTTCCCACTTTTTTCTCATAGCAATTTATTAAATGTAGCTTAGATGTGACACAAGGCCAAAAGTATGGAGCACTGAGTGAGCATCAAATTCACTACTATTTTGCAAGACAAACTTGCTAACCATTATACTATGGAAGGTACTCGTAATTTTTTCTTGTAATAGTAACAGAAGTAGTATACATCTTTTGCACCCACATTTGCATAAACAGGCACAAAATCAACATCCAGTTTTACATTCAATTCATACAATAAATTTAATGTAGATGGCCGACTTAATTCTTTTCAAAAATGAAAGATTTTCAAAATAAATGAATGTCGTGTTTGAGCAAAGCAAATGACATAAGGAAAATGCGTTTTGGTATAAAAGCTTATTCTTAAGTTAACCAAATCTTAATGCTGAATTTATTTATTAGCAGTTGTTCTTGTTGTTGCTTTGGTTAACAAAATTTAAGTAATGTATCATCAAAAATCAGACAGCCATTGGACAGTGTATGAAAAATTAAGGCATAATATCCTGCTTCCAAATCTTTACGGAATTGCCGAAACAGCCTTGTGTTAAGAGTGGAACCTTTGATGAAATTGATCACTTTAATCACAATCAACAAGTCATCACTAAGAGATCTTGGGAGAGTTTTTGATGCCAGTGCTTCTCTGAAGCACCCAGTAGATTGGGCTAATGGATTCTTTTGCTGGATGAGGGTAACTAATGTTGATCTTGAACCCAACATTACAAGAAGACAGTTGTAGAGCATCAAATAAGTTCAGGGAGGAGGTAAGGAAGAGATCAAATAGAAAATGTGTTCATCATAATTATTGTGGAAAAGCATATGGAAGTCATTGAGTGATTGAGTAATAAAGTTAAGGGTCTGGATGCCAATGGGGTGAGTGGCATTACCAACAGAAAAATGTATTTATCCTAAATTTTTTATTGAATTATGCTTTTTTTATAGAAATTTTGAATGATATATTTGGCTTGTCAAGCAAAATTGTTGCCACAAAAATTTTTTAAAAAGTGTACCCTCAGTGCAAAACGTTTCAAAGGCTTTTTCCTAATTATTAATTTTTTTTTTTTTTAAGAGAAATTTTGAACTATAGGCCAAAAGTTAGGGGCCGCCGGATTTCAAAGAATCCTCTAAAAATTGAAGGTTTCATGCCTTTTTCAAAACTAATTTACTAGCTCACTTTGGGTCAAAGGGACTTTCTTTTCCTAAAGGGTTTTATCATATATATATATGGAGAGAGAGAGATGAATAATAATAATAATAATTCACCCATTACTGCATAAAGTTTCTTAAAAATTTTAGCTCTGTATTCTTAATCTACCTTACTGGCTAATAATAATCTTAGGGCTGGCGGATTTTTAAATTTTAAGTAATCCCCTCTCTAAAAGAATTGGACACTGTGAACATATAGGAGATAAACCCTATTTCCAATACATCTTTGTACCCACATACATAAAACATGTCCAAACTTGATTTTCTACCAAATAACAGACAATATTACAAACATACCAAAATGCAACAAACACTGTTTAAAAATCAAAATGTCTATTGGTTAGAAATGAACATCAACATGTGAAATATTTGACCAATCAGAGAAAACTAAAACCCTATTTTTCTCAAGCCCACTTTTGGAAAAATTTTCTTATAAAAGCTACAGATTTTGACTTTCAAGGAGCAGATATGCAATTGTCGCCATGCTGTTCAAACATAAGAGATATATCTATATTAACTTTTTTCTTTCTGCCTAGCACTTGTTGAAAGAAACCTGTGTCTGCAAATCAGCTACAACAGCTTGGACAGTCAGTGAATCATCTCCAATGGCAATAAAGATGGTTAGTGAATCTTTGCTAATGATAATTTTTTTTTTTTTTTTCAATCACAGCTTTTTATTGTGAACCAATTACTAAAAGTTTTTTCTAAACTACAATTTTTTTTTTTTTTTTCTGTGGACCAACCACACAAAGACTAGACTAGAGACTATTTTTACTTTTTCAACTCTTTTGAATTCATGGACATATGTTTGTAAATACAAAGGATTTATTTAACAGGCATGAGACCATGTTTTCTTTATTTTTTTTATTGTTTGGAATTTGGACGTTCATATTTTCGTATAAAAAAACCTGAACAATTGAATTTCCTACATACTAATGGATTGAATAGTTTCAGTATCTTAAATTAGTAGGCATTAATTAAATCAAAGTAGGTATGAAACTTTTTACTTAATAAATCCAGAGGGTCAACCCAAACACTAACCTAAAGTGTATATTTGATTTAGCTAAACAAAAATCCAAATTGTTTCTCTAATGAAATAATTGAAAAGGCTTTGTCCTAAATTTATCATTGAATTATTTTCTTTTGATAGAAATGCTGAGTTATATATTTGGCTTGGCTAATAAAATCAGAGTAATGTGTCACAAAATACTCTATTTTCAAGACATGTGTCATCAATAGAAAAAGTTTGAAAACCTTTTATAAATAATGATAAAAACTCATTTGAAAATTAAGATTTTTCATACATATTCTGTTTCAGGTCCGAATTTTTCTCCATTGATGTTTTAATGTGTCCATAAAATTTTAAACGAATTTCACTATAAAATAATGGAAGAAGATACAGACATTTGTCTCCGTAAAAGACTGATGCTTCTGAATTCCAATCTAGATGAAACGTCCATCTTTACGTCAAAACAATCAAAATCAACTGTAATTGATCTCACGTGTGACACCCCAAATAATCATGTTACCAATTTTGATGAGAATGTTTCTGAAAATGACAAAGATTTCTCAGGAGATATCAATCTGCAGCCAAGTACCAATTTTGTATCTGTTCACAACAGTTCCGATTCTGAGTTACCCTGCGGACTTTATAAGGAGACATTTTCTGAAACGTCTGAAGTATCTACAGATGCCATTCAGTTAATTTCTGGAACCAGACCTCAGGACCTCAATTCCAGTCACCATGACACCTCCACCTTCACTTTGAAAGATCTGAAATCAATTGAAATTGATTTAACTTCCAATGTCCATGGCAACAGTTTTACTCATCTCAAAGTTGGCTCTTCTAAAAATGCCCCCAAAATCCCATATGAATTCTGTGGAACATATCCAGAAACAAATACAGCCTTATCAGGGTCCATCTATCTCCATCCTGTTCCGAATACGGAATCAGCAAGCAATAGTTCAGATTTGGATTTACCCTGTGAAATTTTTGCTGAAACCCTGGCAGATCGACTCAAATTAACCAAAAACCGAGATGTACAAGACTTTTCAGAGATAGTGCCTCTTCCTGAGGTCAAAGACACTGCAACCAAAGGCCAAAAAAGAGGACAACCCTGTTCTGAAATGGGCCTCGAGAAAAAGCTTCATGCCAAAGTAAGTTTAACTATTTTGATTATATGCATGATTTTATTTCCACTTCTGGATAACATTCATTAAGTGTCGAAGGATTTTTAGGTTTTTAATTTTAACAGTCACAGTTAATGACTATCATTTTTTTTTTTTTTTTTTTTTTTTTTATCTGTTTGATATTGAAACTACCATTTATCTAACTGGTGAGTAGACTCAGGGCTGGTGCATACTACTGACAAGACCCCTGACTGAGTAGGGGGCCTGATTGGGGGCCCCAGGTAGTGCTTTATGACTCTCGCTATCTTAGCAACATTTACTTTTTTTTTCTATCTAGATTTATATACATTAAAAATTAATCTAAGCCCAACTGACAATTAAAGGATGAAAAAGTTTTGTGGATTTTGATGTCATTCTGGGGTCTTTTGTTTTCTTTGTCAAAATCCATAAATTATTTTTTTGTTCATATTAGTTTCCAAAAAAAAACAAAAAAAAAAACACTATATAATATCTACTATTTTTTTCCCCATAATGTTGAATGTGTTAAAATTATTTAACTTTTTAAGAAGAAAAATCTAAAGTTGATATTAAAAATTACTGCAAAACATTATTGATCTATTTGTGAAGGGATGATTTATTATGACATGTCTTTAATTTGTATTTAGATATATTGTATTTATTTTCAGTTTTTCTAGTTGAATTGTTCAACTATATTGCAAATGATCCATTATTGTATATAATTAGGTTATAATAAAATTTGTATTTTATATGAATACTACCTTATGAAAATTTAGATGTAATAGAGTGTGGTGGTGGAGGGTATCATAGAATGGGGTGGGAGCATTTCAGAGGTAAGCCCATGACACCCATGCACTGACCCTGGGTATACTTGCTGTAATCCAAGAGAAAGTGTTGAACTGTTTATTATTTAGTCATCTTTCAATTATGAAGCTAATTCATATATTTTACACTTACTACAACAAAAAAAAGCTGCATATAAGTCATCCACATTATTTTCTACAACTTAGACTAGTATCTATCCAATCTTATTTGCTTTTAATTTGGACTAGACGTTACATAAACCCATTGGGTTTCTTTTAAAAGCTGTTCATGATACAAAATAATGAGGTAACAATATAATCAACTTTATTATTAATTACATATTTTAGACGGTAAAAGGCTTATTGTTCGACTGGGCTTTATAGTTAACACATTGCATTTGAAGTAATAGTGTAAAACAGCTGTAGCGTTTTTCAAAATAATAAGTATATTTTTTGTTATACATAATTGTTTCTTCCTTGCATTTATTTCAAAATATGTAATAGCAGCAAATCAGCATACATTATTTATTTACCATAAAGTCATGTGACACAATTTTCCAGCCATATAGATTTGGTTTTACAATTACACACCTATATAGCATCTTTATCTATCAAGTACTTGCCCAATATCTTATATATTTGTTTATAGAAAAAGTTCTAATGTAGTGGAGTGAATTGTATAAGCATAGGTTGTGTTATGTATTTAATAATGTTGTTATAATGTATTATGTATGTGTATTTTTTTCACACACATAATAATTGGAATATAATATGCAAGTGTTTGTTTATATATGCGGATTGATATAAGAATGTGTATTGAAAACAAATACTGAATTTCCTATTAAAAATGCAGTTAGAACAGAAAAATGGCCATGGAACCCTTGTCCAATTTTAATGAAATTTGGCACTCTACTTAGCAGGGGTTCAAAGTACAATATGCTCCTAAATTTGTTGGGGTATTATGTATCAATTAAGCAATAGCTCTGGAACATACACACTTATATAAAAGATTAGAGTTTTACAATTATATAGATGTACAATGAAATTTCCATGAGTTTTGATAAGGCACTACGTAAATAAACTGGTCACATCTAAAAAAAAAAAAAAAATTTGTGAGAAATAATTTTTAATAATCTTTTAACCTTCATGTCCACAATAAAACAGTGTCAAAAGGATGGTATTGCCCATGACATCACTTTTATTTTAACTGCCTTCATCCTTGGGAATGTTTCTTGTTTTAAAAAGCGATGATTAGAATTGTAATAAAACCTAACCATATGAATTTGAATTTAAACATTTTCTTTGTTCTTGAGAATTTACAACAAATATAATCAACACTATTAGATTGTTTAAGGCAGTGGAGAACTTTCAGAGGGAAATTAACAAGAGATAACTGACATCCATTAAACATGGCACGTGAAACTAGAACAGTCTACCCCAGTGAGCAAAATAAAGGGTTAAGTTCAACATTCCAACCACCTGAAGAAGGCTGGAGCGTACAACAGCCAAAACATTGTAATAAATCTATGAATTCCTTTGTATTCTATTCCTAAATTGCAAAGATGCCCATGATGGAATTTCCATGGGTCCTGCTAGTAATGGATAGGCCACTATTTAAAACTATAAAGGATAGGATTTCTTTTCTTTCCTGAGCTGATAAAAATAAGGAAAATGCAACATGGCAATTGATGCCAAATTATGAAAGACTAATTTTATGGCCTCTTTGCAAAAGTGCAAATGCTACAGTGAAGTTTCAGTTGAATTCTTTGAAGAAATAAAGTAAGGTAAGGTAAGTTTTTTTTTTTTTTTTTTTTTTTTTTTTTCCCACCATTCTGAATCCTTTATGAACTTTTTAAAATGTAAAAATTAGTATATTTAAGAATGACCTATAATATTTTCCAGTTGAAGGCAGAAGAGAAGGCAAAACAGAAGCAGGAAAGGCAGAGAGAAAGAGAGGCAAAAAGACTCGAGAAGGAGAGAGCCATTCAAATCAAAAAAGCTCAGCAGATGAGTCGAAAAGCTTTTCAACCAAAAGAATGCCTAAAAGTAAGGGGAGACAACTTTTTAAATTTGTATTAATTTTTTTTTAAATCTGTTTCCTTTTTCAAGTACCAAATTAAATTTTAAAATCTACGAATAAGAAATATTTCACACGTTTGAAATATTTCATTTCAAATAATATTTATGAATTATCATATATATTAATAAAGATTATAAATATTTTAATGTTTCTCAGCCAGAGACTGGCTTTAGTTGGATGTAGACCCTCCCCAGATTCATGGAGGAGGGTCTACATAATATATCAAGGTGATCCACTTGATCCATGTTGATAGGGTCAGATGTGATGCATGATTGCTCAAGGATATTTGCACACAAGTGAATGAATGTAACAAACCTGACCGGAATTCAAACTCAGCACCCTGATTTCTCGTTCTAAGTCGTTATCCATTACACTAGTATTCTCAAGCGATCACCCATCTAGGTGCTGACCAAACCACATTTAGATGCAAAGTTGAAGTATTTGGTAGTTTACTGAGATGTAGATTACCAAACAAGATGAGGATACCATTTTGAATAAATGGGTGTATAATAATGATAATTCCTCATCTGAGAAATATCAGAAATATGGTGACTATAACAACCAAGATGAGGATAACAGTTTGAATAAATTGGTGTATAATAATATACAATCACTAATAACTTTGATTTTCTTTTTTTAAATCATTTCACTCATGCCAAGACAATAAAACTACTAAGACACAAAGTGTTACTGAGTGTGAAAGAAAAACTATTAAGGAGAGAGCCCAATAAAAGCACAGGTTTTAATTAAACAGACAATAACGATTGATATTGCATTTATATTTTTCTTCAATTCTTTCAATTCTCCATTTCAGCATATGTCTGTGATCCTTGACTCTGCCATTGTTAGTATCACTGGCCTCGAAACAGCTATTGTCAACATTTGTGAAAACCTGGGGTCAAACTATCTCATTCAGTCACAAAAGATTCCTTTTGTCATATCATGGAGAAGATCTGTCATTGAATGTGACATGGGTGCCCAGGTAAGGACATTTTACAATGAAACAAGGACAGGTGTCCATCATTTACTTGTCTATATTTTAATATTTGTTTTCTTGCTCTCCATTTTCATACAGTGCACATAAATCTAGCATTAATTCTGCAATCAGAAATTAGCTTACTACTCTCAGATCCATTAATGTTTCATAACAATCTAACACATTCCTACAGGAAAACTGTCAAACTTTTCCAGCAAGAGAACAATCTATTGGAAATATTCTTTTCATTACCCTCTTAAAACAGATTGCATGACATTCGTTTGATACCCATGACAATTTATCCATCACACCATATATATATATATATATATATATATATATATATATATATATACACATTAACATGACAGAATTGAATAGACACTCATTTCTGAAACAGTTTATTTTATTAAACAAGTAATTTATACAAATGAAATAATTATAAATGGTCATAAATTTAATAACTAATACTTGAAATTTGACACCTTTTGCTTTTTTTTTAATCAATTTGTTTCCTTCTAGGCATGCTAGTGATGAGTTCATGAATATCATCTTGAGGGATTTCTTGCCATGTTTGATGCAATAATCGTAAAAGTTCAGGCTTAGAAGATGGCTTCCTGTTCTTTTTGCGGAGTTTTCGATCTAATATGCCCCAAAGGTGTTCAATAGGGTTAATATCCGGGGACTGATGTGGCCATGGAAGTTTATTGATCCTATTTTGTCTCAACCAATGTTGCGTTGCTTGAGCAGTGTGACATGGAGCTCCATCTTCCATAAATAGGGAGTCAACTTTGCTCATTCTACTACTTGAGAATATTGGAAGGAGCCCTTTCTTTAATATAGAAACATATTTGGTTGAATTAATGTTTCCTTCACACTCCACAATCTCTGAGCGACCATCACTCCAAATTGCACCCAATACCATTTCTGAAAGGCCCCCATGTTTCACTGTTGGCTGTAGTCTTTTTAAATCAAACTCTTGACTACAGAGTCTCCATACCCATACTCTTCCACTGTCGGAAAATAATGCGAATCTTGACTCATCAGAGAAAATGACAGTGGTCCAAAAGGTCACAGGTCTCTCCACCATCTCATGAGCCCAATCCTTTCTGCATTTGATATTGGCTGGACGGAGAAGTGGTTTCCTTCTCGCAGCTCTGCCATACTAGCCCAGCTTGTGAAGATACCTGACAGCTGTTCTGGGACTGATATCAACTTGTGTTGCTATGTCAGAGGCCTTGCAATGTGGATCCTGTTCAACATTTCTTTTGACAAGACGCATGGTTCTTTCAGAGGGCCTAGGGCAGCCTGGATGAGGTTTTGTGCACTTCTTGCCCTCTCTCGTGAATTGTACAATCACTCTATTAACAGTAGAAAGGGGTATTGAAAGATTTTCAGATATTTTTCTTTGACTAAGATCACCTTCATGTTGGCCCCTAGATACGTCCTCGCTGAAATTCGGAGGGGGGTCTGATGCTCCTTTGGTAAATGGCATGTTCAGTATTGTCATCTGCAATTTTAATCAAATAATCTAAGTTAATTTATCTTGGTTATTAAAAAAAATCAGAAATAAAAATTTATCTTGGTGTCTATTCAAATTCTGTCATGTCTGTCTGAAATATATATATATATATATATATATATATATATATATATATATATATATACACACACACACAGTAGCGGTCATAATATAAGGAACGGAAACAACAAAGACATAAATATGTGTATTACTTAAAAAGTATTGCATGATTAGTAATGAAATTTTTACCGAATAAAGATTAGGGTGTAATGCATAAATATTATACAAAGTTACAAAAATTTACATAATAGTTTGTTTTGTTTTTTTTAAATAAAGATTAAATGGAACAAAGGAAATAAGCTACTGGACAAAAGTTAAGGAACGATCTTGTTAATACATGATTGTGAACAAATTATCAACAAAATTTAATATTTGGTAAACATCCCCTTATTTTCAATGACTTCTCTGCATCATCAACCACATGATCTAATTAATTTCTTGCAAAAATCAACAGTAATTCCATCCCATTCGTCTTTCAATAACTCCCATAGGTGATTCTGGTTTTTCGGGTTTCTTTTCTGAGCCCTTTCTCCAATTATCTTCCAAAAATTTCTATTGGATTCAGGTCGGGGCTCTGGGCTGGCCACTTCATTAGGGCGATTCCTTCTTCTTCAAATAAAGCCATAACCTTCTGAGCCTTGTGGTAAGGTACATTGTCCTGCATGAAAATAGGAGATTCATAAAGATTATGGTGTAATCTTGGTACCACATGCTGCTGAAGAAGTCTTTTGTAAATCTCAGCATTGATATTGCCATGTACGCAGATGATAGGGCCAACTCCTGCAGATGAATCATTCCCCACACAATCACTGCCGCCACCAAACTTAACGGTTTTCTTGACACATTGAGAAGACAGTCTTTCACCTGTTCTACGGCATACGTAAGTTTTGCCCTCAGAACCAAATATAGTAAACTTGGACTCATCACTGAAATGAACTGTATCCCATTGTGCGTCAGTCCAAACAACATGTTCTCTTGCTTTACTCCAAATGCCCTTTTTGGAAAATTTGAAGCCGAATACGGGCATGCATTTTTTATTTTGGGAATGCGAGCAACCATTTTCCTTGAGATCTTATTATCTGTCTCTTCATTAAATTTACGGGCAATTGATTAGCAGTTTCAAAACGTTTTTTTTGTAGATATCTAACAATTCTTGATCTTCTCTTTGTGATGTTTTTTGTTTTGACTTTTTTTCTTGATAGTTACCGATAATGAGTTTTGTGTGCGAAAATGAATTTGCCATATTGCTGAAAAAAAATAAAAAAGTAGAAGGATAAATGAACTTTTACTTATTGTAAAAAAAAGCTGAAAATATTAAATTTTTAACAATGTAAATTAAAAGTTTATGCAAATTATTAACATTGTTCCTTAACTTTTGTCCAGTAGCTTATTTCCTTTGTTCCATTTAATCTTTATTTAAAAAAAAAACTATTATGTAAATTTTTGTAATATGTTGTATAATATTTGTGCATTACACCCTAATCTTTATTCGGTAAAAATTTCATTGCTAATCATGCATTACTTTTTAAGTAATACACATATATATGTCTTTTTGTTTGTTTCCTTATATTTCCTTATATATATATATGTGTATATATATATATATATATATATATATATATATATATATATATATATATATATATATATATATATATATATATTATAATAAAAAAGAAAGAACAGTAAGATATATAATCCTGTGTTCTTATTGATATTTTTATTTTTACAAAACAGTGCTCAATATAAATTTACAGAGCATAAATATTATAAATTAACTGATTTAAAATATGGTTTCTTCGCTACACAGGAATTACCATGTTTCAAAACCAAGTTAAAAACTTCAAATTTAATTATATAATTAAATTAAAAGCATTAGTTCTGTTTCATATTCAAGCAAATTTTTCCATATATATATAAGAGAGAGTAAGAGACATAGACAGATTGTTGACATAGGGATCAACACTGCATGGTGACTTTCAATTTCATGCTCCAATATGATATTCGCATTCAGTTAGAATATTACATTGAAGTGTGAAACTGCCAGTCCCTATGCAGTGTTGATGTCAATACTGTCTATATGTATAAAAACTCTACCTCCTAATAATGAGGCACTCTTTTATTGGAGATTTAGGCAAATTTTAACAAATAGCTACATAGGTGCATGCATACATATGTGGCAGGGATGATGATATCACCCCTGAAATAATAATAATAGTAATAAACGAGGATATGCTTTAAAACAGGAAACTTGAAGAAAAACAAGAAAATTGAAAAAGCGGCATTTTCAAATAACCAAGATGTTAATATGCTGTAAGGACGTTTAAATGTTACAGAAAGTTAATTTAGAACATGAAATACAATTTTTTTGTAAGTGTACAAAGGATATCATATTACTAATAGAAAATTACTGGAACAATAATAATTTGGAACTTTTAAAAAAAGGAATGGATTTTGACACTATAAGAATCAAAGTTAAAATCAAGGATGTTTTGATCTAGAATTTATTTTTAAAACAAGAATCTCTGTAGTTTACAAAGAGCAGCAGAATAATTAATAGCGAGGTGATAAACAATAGCATCTTGTGAACCTTGAAAACCAATAAATGAAAAAGTAAATTGTTTATTCTCGGAGGAGTGAAATTGTACTTTGGTAGTATGTCAGTACATTCACACTAGAAAAACAGATACATCACCAACCTGGGACCTGTGAGGCTGGTTCTCTTAATAAAGAAGTGAGCCAACCGGAGGAGAGAAAGCTTTGGGTTCGTCTGTCTTCGAATGCAGTCAAACTGAGTGGAGAGACATCAGAGATTGAAAAGGTAGCATCTGTTGTGTGTTGCTGGAGCTGAAGGCAAAGAAGCAAAATACCTCCACTAATATTTAAGTACCGCTACTCCTGCTACTACTAATAATACTAATGAGAACAGGAACATCAAAGGTTGTAGTAGTTGTGCTAAGAACAGACCAAAAAGGGTTAAAACAAAGGCCACATCTCCTTTACCAAAATTATTCAGGAATAATAAAAGGAAATTCTTTTTCAAATTTTGAATCAAGTAATGTGTTGAATGCGTTACTTCTCTTGTGCACCTTCCATTAGCTAGAGTTTTACCATCTTTATAACTACACACTGTGACTCTCCTTAGCAATTTATAGCCCACTCCCAGATACCTTCCAGTTCACCACCGAGAAGAGGTGTGAGATAAGAATCTGTTGGTGCAGAAGTGATGGCTACATTTAACCGTTTCAACAATGAAAGGGTGGGACTGAGATGCCAACCTAGTAGCACACTAAAAATTCATGCAGTTTGGAAATGAATGAAAGTAGCTCATCAGAGCAGTTGCCATGAAAATACTTGTAGAAAAGACAGAGGGAAGCTATAGCATGTCTGTGAGAAAGTGACTTTAGACGAGATGCCAGATTAGGACCTATGACGTTACATATCTGTCTCTGGATTTTGTCGAGGACCTCAAGATGAACAGCGGGAGCACCAGACCATATATGGCAGCAGTATTCCATGCAAGGACAAATAGTTGATTTGTAGATTTGAAGGATAGACTTGGTGAGAAAAACCTTCTGGTGTAACAGAGAACCAACTTTCCTTGCGATAGATGAAGCTATAGATTCAATCTAGTTCTTCCACTTCAGGTCAGTGTGAGACCAAGCAGGCACACTCTCATGGAGTTGGTCATCAGCCATCTTGATGGGAGGCAAGGAGGGTTCTCTATGGTGGGTAACTGAGAGTAGTTTTGTTTTGGAGGCATTAAAGTTTACAAGCCATTTCCTGCCCCAGTCAACCACTGAATGGAGGTCATTTTCAACAACTACAGCCAGGTTAGTTTTGTCAGCGATGCCGGATTTACTATTGAGACAGGAGTGAATAGTAGTGTCAACTGCATAGATGCCATTTGGGAATTGATGACATCAAGAAGATCGTTGATGAAGATCTGAAAGTGTAGAACCCAGGATACAGCGTTGGGGAACACTAGGGTTTGTGTAAAAGGAACTGGAGGAGAACTCATTTAGGATGACCTTCATTTCATGACTTGGCAGGAATGATTTTATTAAGTCAAATAATCGTCCTGTAATACTATATCCCTGAAGTTTACAAAGAGGCCAGTGTGCCAGACCTTATCAAACGCTTTAGATATATCTAAAGCTACGGCTCGAGCTTCTCCGTTATTGTCAAGTGCTCGGTATATAAATTCAGTTATGGTTATGAACACATCAGCAGTGGACCAGGCAAAGCGGAAACCATATTGCTTGTCTGAGAGCAGATCATGGGATGTAAGGTGTTTAACCACTTCAGTGTTGATTAAAGCCTCAAAGACTTTTCCAAAGAGTGGTAGGAGACTGATAGGACGGTAGTTAGATGGGTAAGAAGGGTCACCAGAGGTCTTAAAGACAGGGACAACAGATGGGGACTTCTAATAGGCTGGAAAGCAAGTGAGGCAATATAGTTTAGAGAGGACTGGTGTCAGTTCAGGAATACATTTCTTCAGGTCAATGGCTGGTATCCCATCCCTGCCACTAGCCTCATGGGAGTCTAATTTATAAACAATGTCCAAAACGATCAATGGGGTTATGTTTATCTCACTGAATAGAGCCTCAGTTCTAAGGGGGAAAATCAGGTGTGGGTACTCCAGATGAGTCAAGCATTGAATTGGATGTGAATTTCCAAGCAAAGCATTCAGCCTTATCAACTGAGGAAGTCAGGACCTCAAATTGACTGAATAGAGGAGGTTTGTGGATTTGCTGTTGTTCAGCATGCTCTAGCATTTTCTAACAAAATGGAGGAGAGATAGATGGAGACACATATATGGATGGATGGTCTGGAGATTCAAGAGAGAGTTCTCTAGCCAGTGAGAGATGGTCTCGGGTATAAACTCCCAGGCCATGCATGTGGATTTTAGAGTTCTTTCTAAGGAGAGGAAGTTAACCAGGAATTGAGAAATCAGAGAAAGGGATTGACAAGTTAAGGTTGGTCTCAAAGAGGGCTAGTATATTGGGAGACTTTTTTAACAAGGAACAATTCCACACTGCAAAAGTTGGATTGAATGCCATGGATGTTGGAAAAAAAAATGTTAAAGGGTTTAGGTGATTGATATTTTTTTTTTATTTATAAGTACCAATTAAGAACAGCAACCAGAAAACAGTCAGCCAAGTACCCTCAGTATGAAGAGATGTTACCACAGACTACACACATCACAAGAGATTCATGACAGTACTATTACAGAGGCTGTAGAAAAAGAAAAGATCTGGGAACCCCTTCCTAGACAGGAAACAAGGGATGAGCCTCTATGCCTGTTCAAGAGAAGGGGAAGGATTATTGATTGGGCAATAGGCAAGCCTATCTACTCTTATTACATGCACAAAAGAAAAATAAAAAACAAAACAAACAAATAATTAGCATACAAGAAGCCCATGAACAACATGCATGGCACACGGAGTTGAAACCTAAATATAAAGTTTCAACTTAGTTTAAATGCCAACATGCACTTCTTGTTAAATAAGGACACTCCACATCTGTAAGCCTGGAATTCCCATGCTGTCCATTTGCATTAGTCAGCAGAAAGAGAAAAAAAATTCAAAGATCTGATATTCAAAGTTTTCAAAAAGGGGAAGGCTAAATTCACTTCTATTAATAAAAAATAAATATAAATATATATATATATATATATATATATGTGTGTATATATATTAAAAACTTTAAAAAAAAAAAAAACAAATTTAATTACTTTTTTTTTTTTTTCTTTACCCTCAATTGTTCAAATCTATGAATTTTAAAAAAAAAAAACAAATTGAATTTGGTCCTTTTAGTAATGGATAGTTTTCAATTTAAAACTATAAAAATAATTTCTATTTTTTTTTCTTGTTAATTGAATTATTTTAAATTGCATTCCTAAATTGCAAAGATGACCCATGTTTCAAAAATTTCCATGGGTCCTGCAAGTAATGGATAGGCCACTATTTAAAACTATAAAGAATAGGATTTCTTTTTTTTTTCTATTATTCAAATCTACAAAAATTTTTTTGTATTCTATTCCTAAATTGCAAAGATGCCCACAATGGAATTTCCATGGGTCCTGCTAGTAATGGATAGGCCACTATTTAAAACTATAAAGAATAGGATTTCTTTTTCCTGTATTAAAACTGTTTTCTATTTCTCAATTGCAAAGAGTGTTGTTTGTACTCTAATACATCACCCCGTCCCCCTTTTTTTTTTTTGCAGGTGTTGACAGCTCAGAAAGATCTTGATGAAGATGAGATTCTTGTCTGTTTACCTTTAGACCACTTTGTTGAACTTGTGTACGGGGCAAAACAGGTAAGTAATTGAAATGAACGAAAACAAAAAAAACTCTTAATTAAAAAGAATCTCCTTTCTTTGTAAGGAAGCCTCATTTAACATAATTTGTTATGAAAACAATTACTGTTATCTTGGACTAGATTATCCAAACATGTCTTTTTATAATTGATGTCATCAGATTAAACTAATTGCTTTAAATAATAATTTTCTCATTTATGCTCTGCATCAGAATGATCCGCTTCCTCTATTTCTGTTATTTGTTCCCAGAACACAGCCGAAATTGTACATCGGTTTTATTAGCACAATAATTTTAAATGCTCTAACTTGGTTAATAAAGTAATATCCACTCTGATCAGGCCACTTATAATTATAAATTACTAAAAAAAATACACTATTTACTCGGACTATTGTCCTCATCTTTGTCGTCATGTATATATTCGCCATTGCTGGTGATAATCCCTAGAACGGTCCAGTATTCCAATAGATAATCTGATGGAGATGTTGACTTTCTGTACACACACTTCGGAATGGGATCACACATATATCGACAGGATAAGGGCTTAGTAATGGGCTCACCATTATCACCAGCAATGGCGAATATATACATGGAATACTTTGAGGAAATGGCATTAGAATCTATATCTCTAAAGTCAACTCTATGGTTAAGGTACATAGATGACACCTTCGTACTCTGGCCACACCAGGAAGATGTTCAGGTTCTACTGGACCATGTGAACTTAATAAAACCTTCGATACAGTTCATTAGGGAGAAAGAGAGTAACAACACACTCCTATTCCTGGATGTTCTAATATCTCAAACAGAGCATGGGTTTAAGACATCTGTATACCGTAAACCGACATTCACTGGACAGTACCTCAATTTCAACTCCCACCATCCATACAGCGTAAAGAAAGGGATTGTCTGCTGCTTACAACATTGAGCAAAAGTCATAGGTGGCGACCCAGAGACATTAAATAAAGAATTGGTCAGTATAAGTAGTACCTTACAACGTAACAACTACCCTGGGTACATGGCAGCAGCCCCCAAAAAACTGGGATAGGCAGGTACAAGAGGAGGACAACAACACTCAGAAAACAGTCTGCCTGCCTTATGTGAATGAGTTATCAGAAATAATACAAAGGATCTACGGTCCATATAACATCAGGACAACCTTCAAAAGCGGGACAAAAATTCGCAGATCTCTCTCCCAAGTAAGACCCCCCCCATAGAGGAGAACATGACTAAAATCTGTGTGTATGCTATCCCGTGCAGCTGCGGAAATAAATATAAAGGGGAGACAGGCTGCCCCCATAAGGTAAGGCTTTAAGAACACCAGAAAGCAAGGGGAAGTGAAAAAATCAGGCATGGCTGACCACATATGGAGAGAAAAGGGAGATCACTGTCCCCTGTGGGATCAGGTTGAGATCATAGACAAAGAACACTATTGGAAAATTCGTAAACTTAAGGAATCAGCACATATGCTAGGTCACAAAAATCTCCTGAGCCGACCAAGCATAGAAATGAATACAGTATGGGAACCAGTAATAAGGAGTGCCAGAGAAAAGCGATAACAACAACAAAAATTGCAATATGAGCACTGGTAAAAAATGGTTGCTGAGACATTAGGTTTATAATACCCAGAAATTCATACACAGATGTCCTCAAGGACATATGGCACAGTGGATAAAGGTGTTGGTTAGATCCAGTGACAGGACCCAAAGAATATCCGGTTAAGGCAGTGGAGAACTTTCAGAGGGAAAATTAACAGGAGATAACTGACATTCATTAAAAACATGGCACGTGGAACTAGAACAGTCTACCCCAGTGAGCGAAATAAAGGGTTCAGTCCGACATTTCAACCACCTGAATAAGGCCGGAGTGTACAAAGGCCGAAACATTGTAATAAATATGGCGACAAAGATGAGGACTATAGTCTGAATAATGTAAATAGTGTACATAATCAGAAATATAGACACACACACACACATATATATATATATATATATATATATATATATATATATATATATATAAGTCAAACATTATAGCATTTTTATTTTTGTTATTTCTTCTATATCCTTTCAAAGATTTTATCTCTAATTTTGTTAGAAAATATTAAAGAATGAATAGGTATGATATAAAAGCTACAATATCTTTATTCTTTGATATTATAAAGATATAGGCCTACTCAAGTTAATAGTGTAGAAATTTGTAGGCCATAATTACTTAATTACATAATGAGGAGTCACAGGTGCCAAAAATAGAGGAGTTGGAGTCAAAGGTTTTGGATTCTGACTCCACAGCCCTGAGCAGCACCAACCCAAGCCCAGCAATACTCCATTTTTGGTCTGATTCAACTCTTGTAAAGACAGAGCAAGGCAGCAGGAATCTGGTACTTTCTAGAGCAATACAAGGAACTGACCCTTTTTCCAGCCTCTTTTGCAATGGCACTGACTATACGAGTTCCATCTGATTTCCTTTCAGAAACAACGAGGTGAAATGGTAGCAGATTTCCAAACTTTACAAGGCTACGTTGACAGTGTACGACAGATGTATTTTGGTTGCTCAATTACTCTGGTTGTTATAGGAATGGAAAATTATTTCAGGTTTGTAAATTTGAATTCCTCTTTTTTTCTTTTTTTTTTTCTTTAAATAGAATAAATAAGATGAACAGGGCTTACAGGAATATCAAATTGAAACACCAGTTCCCACATGATCACCAAAGTTAAGACAAGTTGAACTTGGTTAGTACCTAGTTGGGTGACCACCTGGGAATACCACATGCTGTAAGCTTGTATGTGTGGGTGGTGTGATGGATAACTACTCGGAATTGGAAATACAAGAGCCAAGTTCCAATTCCATTTGGGTTCATTATATTCACTTATGCACAAATACTCTTGAGAAAGGTAGGAATCCACCTCTTCTCCCCCAGCTATAGATTAATTAGTAAGACTTGTATCACTAAATCATTATCTACAAAATGTTCTTACAATCTAAAAAATATTTTCTGGCTTTAAATAACCTGCAAAGGGTTGATAAGCTGTAAAAAAAAAAAAAAAACAAATAAAAAAAAATAATGTGAACAAAGCTGGATTATTCCTTATAATTTTAATTTTTTTCTTCCATAAATCCCAATAAATAGTTGAAAAAAAAGACTTTGTTTGGAGCAAACAATAATGAGGCTAAGGTGCTAATTTTGGACATGAATTCCCCCTTCTCTCTTCAGATCCCATTGACATGGTAATCAACTGTAGAGCCACACAGTTGTCATGAGTGAGAATCCTATTTAATTTTAAAAAATATCCCTGTTAATATCTAATGATGTATAGAATGAAAGGGGAGCACATTGCCTCTTGGAATGGGTTCAAAATAATATGAAGCCACACTTCAGGTTCCAAAGAAATGAAGTTGTCATAGGGAAAACTGCAGCCCAAAGGTTACATACACTCCGTTTGGCTTTATTAATGGCAGACCTAATTTTATGAGGAAAATGACGTTTATTAAAATTTTGTTTCATTCCCTTTTGAATTGTTTACTTACACTCTTTCACACATGACCACATAAACAATGATTATGTACAATATTTATTGAAGTTTGTAATTTTTCATTGAACATAACGTTTTCATCATTTTAAACCATTGATGATTTTTCACTAAGGAAGAGCATACATGTAAACATCTTTTGCTTTAGAAACATTCGTAATAATTTCTTTTTTCTCTGTAGAGAAATATATTTCTATCTTAAAAAATTTATTTTAATTTAAAAAAAATATTTTTTGTACTTTCAAATTAATAAATTAGAAACAAATAACATGGATAATAGACTAATTTTTTAATGTATTTTCTCCAATGGAAAAAAAAAACAAAAAAACTTTTCCTCATTTCAAGGTAAATACTTATACATATAGTCTCTGTAGTAATTTTAGTGTGTTGTATCATCAAGGTGAATGATACACATAAGAATGAGGGCTTAATATATTTATTTAGCACCAGTATCTGGTACTAACAGATACTAACTAAAAACACAGAATAATAAGTTATAAAAGAATTAACAAGACAACTTACAAGGAATAGAGGAGGGTCAAATGCTGTATAGCCAAGCGAAGTAAGATCAGTCTGAATATTAATCAGTTTAGTATCAACTTATTAATCAACTGTTAAAGTCCTTAATCGTAGACTATTTAAGGCTACGAGCCAGGCATCTGGTAGAGTGATGAAGGGGTGCTAGCTACTCTACAACACAATGAAAAATTACTTTTAAAAATATTTTTAGTGGTGCAGTTCACTTTATGCAGCCCACTGCTCAAATAAATGGTTGGCCATGCCTGCAATAAAGGATATTGTGCAACTGACAAAATCATGTATAAATAAAGACAGTATAAAATGCAATGTCATACATGTGTCAATACATAAGGAAGCAAAAATGGCCTCAATAGTCTTCCTTAAGTGAAAAATGATAATGTATATGTTGGTCTACTCCAGTGTTTCTCAACATTTTTAAGCAAGGGCACACCTAGGAGTAAATGAAAATATCACAGCACATTTAGCAAAATTTTTAAAGGGTATATATTTAAATGTTATGAAATGAAACCATAGATTTAAAAAAAAAAATATGTACACAAATATGAACTTTCTTTACTTCAATGTTTCTCTTCAACTATTTGTGCAACTTAGTAAAATACTAACACTGTACCATTGCTACTTACACACACACACACACACACACACACACACTCACACACACACACACACGTATGTTATGACAGTATTTCCCGGCACACTTAAGAGGATTGTGCAGTACAGTGTACAGTCACACAGCAGTTGAGAATCACTGGCCTACTCAGTATATATGGCTGGATTTTCATTTTCAAATTAACTCCTGAATTTTACAAGAGTCAGATTACATGAATCATTGAAAACAACTGTGAAAATATTTATAAGAAAAAAATGCATAAAAACAGCTATAGGAATTCTGTACCTAAGGAAGGCATAAGGACAATGACTCATCTAAGAATTTCAATAACGAAGGCCAAATAACACATCAAATTAAATATAGTGATAAAAACAATAAGGATGAGGATATTATTCTGAATGACGTAGAAAAATGACAATGACTCATCTACTAATTTCAAACATTGAAGAAGACCAAAGAATACATCAACCAAAATATAGTGATAAAAACAATAAGGATGGGGATATTAGTTTGAATGACTTATGAAATAATGACAATGACTCATCTACTAATTTCAGACATTGAAGAAGGCCAAAGAACACATTGGCCAAATTATAGTGATAAAAACAATAAGGATGGAGATATTAGTCTGAATAACTTGTGGAATAATGACAATGACTCATCTACTTATTTCAATAATGAAGGCCAAATAACATCAAATTAAATATAGTGATAAAAACAATAAGGATGAAGATATTAGTTTGAATGACTTGTGAAAAAATGACAATGACTCATCTAAGGATTTCAATGGCAAAGGTCAAATAACACATCATTAGTGATAAAGATAACAATAATTAAAATGACTCTTCTAAGAATTTCAGGAAGACCAAAGAACATATTAGCCAAAATATAGTGATAAAAACAATAAGGATGGGGATATTACTTGGAAGAACTTGGGGAATAATGACAATGATTTTGTTCAGATTATGTGTAAGGTTGAAGAATACATCTGGCAAAATATTAAAATTGTAATTTTCATGGAGAAAAGATATTTTTTTTATTTCAAATAACACTTGGAAGGCCAGACTTGGAAGAAACATAAAAAACAGCAATGATGAGGATGTTAGTTGAAGCAGCTCATTATATAATTCTGCTCATTTCTTGGCTAGTTAGTGAGCCATTGCCTGAGATAATGAACCTTTCCATTTTGATTGCAAGGAAAGACAGAAGAAAAAGATTTATCTGAGGGGTTGTTTGGTTTTAGTGAGAAAAAGAAAGCATGCATAATAAAAAAAAAAAAAAAAAAAAAAAAAAGAAAGGGAAGATAGAGTAGGTGATAACACTCCCATACATATTAATGTCTGCTTTTGTGAAATGAAGAACCTTGTCAATTTTAAATCTTTTCATTTGTACTCTCTTACTTCTTCAACTAATGACATTCATTCATACTTATGATTGTTATTGCAATATTTTGTTAAAAGTTGTTAAGCTCCAATATTTGTCAATGCAATAGTAGAGTTTCTATGGATATTATATCATCATAGAACTTGCTATGAGCTTATTCAATCATTAACTGAGGGATTAACACTGTAATACAAGAAATATCATGGGTATAAGGAGTTTATTCAATCATTAAATTTTCATGGGCATTAAATCATTAATTTAATATTGTTTAATTATTCAATCATTTAATTTTCATGGGTAGAATAATTATCATAAAAAAATAGGTATAAATCTTTTTAAAAAGGGTTTAAATTTTTATATTAGTTTCCAACTTCAGTCCCAATACAAGGCTCAAGAGCCTCTCAAGATAGAAGGTGACTATTAAAATCGTAATATTGAATGAGATGTGTAAAATTAATGGAAGAGGAGGGTTTTTTCACTTTTAAAGCTCATTCCCATCATGCCAGTTTCTAAGAATCCAGCATTCAAAATGATCTTGACTTGCTCACTGCTTTGTTTTATTTTTCAGAAAATATAAGAGATCCAAGACCCACAAGGGAAACAGAACAGATACTATCATTAGTCGATTGGATGTAGAAGAAGTAAGTATGGGGGTGAAGTTTGAGAGAGAGAGAAAATCCCAAGATCATTACGATCCAACTGAAAGTTCTGTTTTCTATAAACTGGAAAAACTGTCAGTTCCCCATACTGCTCCGGCACTAAGTACCTGACTCCTCTTGGAATCCTCTACCTTTGTAAGAGCTAGATCAGTCCAAAAATGGAGTTTTGCTGCCATATATGGGCAGGAGCTGTCCAGTCTTCACTTACCGGTCTTGATAGAGTACAAAAGTGTCTCCACTTCCTTGTGGGTGATGAATTATTTCCCACCCTACAATCCCTTTCCGACAGACAAAACGTTACAAGCCTCTTGTTTCTCTGTCACTGTTTTCATGGTAAGTGCTCAGACAAACTACATTCCTTAGTTCCACCAGTTCTAACCTTCACGGCTAAGACCTGCCATGCCACGCCCATTGTAGTGAACAACCCCCATTCCCTTCATATTTTATTTGTGAGATGTATGTTTCACTCCGAGACATTCTTCCCATGAACTGTTGCTTTCTGGAACTGACTCCTAAGAGAATGCTTCCCTGCTGACTACAATTTTAACCTGTTCAAGTCTAGGGAAGGTTAACTGTTATCTTATTTACATAAACAGTGACTCTTACTCTGTAACCATCTACCTTGAATGGCTCTTGGGCCTTGTACAGGGTGAACATTATTGTTAAAAAAAAAATAACTAACTACAAAACATTGTTTGGTAGGGGTGAGGACAGCAAAATAAAAATCTTCGTTGGTCCAGGGGTCAAGAGGCTAACAAGTAAGTAGAAATAGGAACTTGCTAAATTCTCTCTCCACTTTGGGGTATGAAGCAGATTAATCAAACCTAATAGAATAATTTGAATAACTTCAATGTGACATGCACACTGCCTTATGGGTGATGAATTATTTTCCATTCTACTGACACTTTCCTATAGACAAAATGTCTCAAGCCTCTAGTTACTTTCTCGTTGTTTTCATAGCAAATCCTGTCTTAATATTAAGTCTGATATGTCCAATAAAGTAAACCTAAGAACTGATCTAAAAATGACCTCCAGTCAGTAGTTAACTGGGGCAAGAAATCCCTTGTAAATTTAACACTGAAAGTATCTTTTAGTCATCATACTGAACAATTTTTGCCTTCTGTCAGCATAGCTGATGTTAACCTCCATGAGATCAACACATTGGACATTCTTGCTCTCAGGTTTTCCACAGACATAAAGTGCAAAGGTTATACTGAATCAACTACTAGGAAGGTTGGTTGACTGTCATGCCAGACAATTTTTCTCATCAGAATTTATCTTACACATTTATAAGTCTACCATTTATGCATGCTTTGAATATTGCTGCCATATCTGGTTTGATGCTCCTGCTATATATTGCAAGGTTCTCAATGAAATCCAAAGAAGGATTCTGTAATGTTATTGGTCCTGTCCTGGCATCTTGACTGCACTCACATTCCCATATTTTTGGAAGACCAGTGATGGGATTGCAATGCTTAAGTATCATTGGACTAAGTGAATTGGACTATATTTAAATATAATGAAAAACTGTCATGTTTCTCCAACTCCTGGGTCAGACTTAGAACTTTTTTAATGACCCTCATATCTGCTCTGGTATATCTCTAGATCCTTGACAAAATCCAAAGGACAGTCTGTAATGTTATTGGTCCTAACCTGGCATCTCAACGTCACTCACTTTCCAACTGATGTGACATGGCTTCCCTGTGTCATTTCTATAAATATTTTCTTGCTGGTTGTTCTAATGAGCTCTCCTCCTTGGTATTTATTTGTATGAATTGAAGCCTACTACTAGATTAGCTATTAGGTCCCATCATTTTACTACTAAACTAATTAGATGTAACTGTAAGTTCTATTCAAATAGTTTCTTTTCTCACACTTCTTATCTCTGGAACTCAATTCTGGTTTCTTGCTTCTTTACAATCTTCAAAATTTAAATGCAACGTCAATTGCCATTTTTCTGTTTAACTGTGTTCCTTTATTGTCCTTTCTCCTCATGAAAGTCTTTTCATTCTCTTTTACTCTCAGTAACCCCTTGCATCTTAGTGGTATTATCACCTTGCTTGGAGTGAAATGATTAAAATAAATGTTCTGATGAGCCACATTCCTTTGTTTCTCCAGTTGAGATATTCACAACTAGAACACGACATGCAATGTACACAGTGAAAATCTTCATTGTTTCCCTTTGTATTCTCCTATGGAGATGGAAATTTTACTCGGATATCATCTTCCTGAGAAGTGTTATTTTGTGAAACAGACTCCTGAGAGGATGCTCCCCCAATCACTACAATCAAAACCTTTCCAATTCTATAATCAAATATTCTCTATCATAATCTGTACTCCAGACCATGATTGAGGGACGGATTGAGCAATGGAAAAATTTAACATCTGTTTACCGATAACATCAGTACTTTTAGAATGCATGAAACATTTATTTCAAGAAACTAAACTTCTCAAGTTCACTAACAGTTTAGTTCTTTGTTCTTTTATGTACTATGGAAAGTTAAAATTTTAATTCAATCATCTTTTTCTTTCCTAGTTGCATGTGATATGAAGCACAATGGCTTTATACACTCTTCATTATTAATATTATTTTATTACTAGTTTTATGAAAAAAAAATTATTGTTTTTTAATCTCAACACTCTGGCTCTATCCTTTCTTCATTATTACTATTATTTTATTTCTAGTTTTATTCCATCTTATTATTAAAATTTTTTTATCCCAACACTAACACGCTATACACTCTTCATTATTACTATTATTTTATTACTAGTTTTATTCCATCTTATTGTTGTTGCTTTTTATCCCAACCCTCTAGCTCTATACACTCTTCATTATTACTATTATTTTATTACTAGTTTTATTCCATCTTATTATTGTTGCTTTTTATCCCAACACTCTGGCGCTATACACTCTTCATTATTACTATTATTTTATTACAAGTTTTATTCCATCTTATTATTGTTGCTTTTTATCCCAACACTCTGGCTCTATACACTCTTCATTATTATTTTTATTAATAGTATTATTGAAGATTGTATTGATTCACATAAAAGCAACAATAAACTATCTAAAAATAATGTGTCATAATTTGTTTTTCTCTTAGGCTCTTGTAAATCTCCAGCTGAGGAATCTTTGCAATTGTCAACTGATAGAATCAATTGAAGACATGGCTGATATTGTCCGAACTTTTACAAAAGCTGTCGCTGAAAAGCCAATGAAGTAAGATTTCTTTACTTTATTGTTTTTAATGTTTTTGTTTTTTGTCTGTACTTGAAGTTTTAATGGATATTTGTTAGACAAAATTAAATGTCATCTGGTGGGCATGACCTTTTTGGAATGATATGAACAATTTAAATTTCCTATTTTTTTTCTTCAATAGAAGAGATAACACTAAAATTACTGATTGTACCAGACAATGGCAGGAAAATACATTCTCTAAGTCAGGAGTCAACAACCCCTAGGCCACATCTGGCCCGTGAAGGGTTTTTGTCCAGCCCACCAAACTTAAACATATTAAGGAATTTGCATTGTTTGTTGATTTTGTTATTTGTTATCCTGTTATTCTTGCAGTAGAATAAGGAATCTTGTTTAAATAATAGAACATGAAGTTTATGACTTTTTCTTTAGCATCTCTCTGTACCTTCGTGGTCTCATGTTTTCTACTGATCTGAGGTGGAACAACTACATTGAATCGATAGCTTCATCTACTGCAAGGGACGTTGTTTCTCTGTGTCGCACCAAAAGGTTTTGTTTTTCATTTGAGTCCATCCTACAAATCTACCATTCATCCTTGCATTGAATACTGTTACCATATATGGTCTGGTGCTCCCGCTGTTCATCTCAAGGTCCTCAACAAAATCCAAAGACAGATATGCAATGTAATATGTCCTGACCTGGCATCTTGAGTCCAGTCACTTTCTTACAAATGTGATGTGGCTTCCCTCTGTCTTTTCTATAAATATTTTCATGGCATCTGCTCTGCCAAGCTATTTTCACTGATGACTGCATGAATTTATGCATGCTACTAGGTTGGCATCTTGGTCCCACCTTTTCACTGTCAAAACAGTTAAATGTAACCGCCTCTTCTACTCTAACACTTTTCAATGGTGGAACTCCCTTCTTACTTGCTTTCCAGATAGCTATAATCTTCAAATGTTCAAATGTAATGTCAATCGGCATCTTCTGATGCCTTGGTCCTGATCCCTCAAACAAAACCTCTATTCTTTACTTTTGCTTTCATTCTCTGTAATCCGTTCCATGCTGATGGCACTCCTTAAAAAAAAAAAAAAAAAAAAAAAAATTCAGACCAAGACAAGTTGAGACAATTTATTATAGTAAATTTCATATGATGGCCCTCTTCTGAGACATTGCATAACTGTCTGGCCTGCTCTCTCCAAAAGGTTGTCAACCCTTGTTCTAAGTGATGGAAAATAATGTGATGCAAGTCTGAATTATAATAAATCTATTCTTGCCTTCATTCCTGACCACTGACAATCCCTGTCTTCCTCATTTTCAATGCATTCCTATAGTAAAATCATTAGCAATGCATTTCCATTATACATATAATAGCCCTATTCTATCAGTAATTCTTGCCTTCATTCCTGACCACTGACAATCCCTTTCTTCCTGATTTTCAATGCATTCCTATAGTAAAATCATTAGCAATGCATTTCCATTATACATATAATAGCCTGATTCTATCAGTAATGCTTGCCTTCATTCCTGACCACTGACAATCCCTTTCTTCCTCATTTTCAATGCATTCCTATAGTAAAATCATTAGCAATGCATTTCCATTATACATATAATAGCCCTATTCTATCAGTAATGCTTGCCTTCATTCCTGACCACTGACAATCCCTTTCTTCCTCATGCACACACACAACTGCTGTTTTCAGTTCTTCTGAAAGTAACACTTTCAAATCTCTATTTATCCTTTTTGTCTAGAAGTAAATTCCTTTTCTTTTTTTCATCATTTCACCCCAGGGAAGGCAATAAATTCACTAAGATACAAGAGGTTGTTGACTGTTAGAAAGTATATGAAAACTATTAAGGTGAGAAGACAATAAAAGAACAGGAATTAAGTTGACTGAAGATAACTATTGAGATTGCACTTAAATTTTTGAAGATGAAACTTGATTGGACTACAACCTTTGAAGGACAGTATTCATTTTTTTATATTCTTGTTTCATAACCTGGAAAATCACAATAGTCATGTAATAATGCACTGATATAGGTCTTTGATTAAAGCAGCTTGTAAAATGGAAAAAAGCATCAGACCTTTTTTTTTTTTTTTTTTTTCGATTTCACCACAATTAAGGCAATAAATCCACTAAGACCCAAGAGGTTACCAAGAGTACAAGAAAAAAACATTATTAAGGAGAGAGAACAATAAAAAAAAAAGACAGGAATTAAGAAGACAGTAGAAACGATTGACATCGCATTTAAATATTTGAAGCTCAAATTTGAATGGTAAGCAAGAAGCCGGAAGTGAGTTCAACAGTCACAAAGTGTAAACAAAGAAACTGTTAACATAGAACTTAGTTACATCTAGCCATTTTAACTGTAAAATGATGAGACCTTGCCACCAACCTAAGACTGTACATAAATTCATCAAATTGGGGTACCATTGAAGAAAGTTCATCAGAACAATTACAATTAAAGTATTAATAGAAAAGGTACAGGGAAGTTACATTTGGAAAGTGACTGAGGCTGAGATGCCAGATCAGGGCCGATAACATTGCAGATTTTTCTTTGTATTTTATGATTTTATTGATTGGTTTCCTATGGCAGGTTATTTAAAGCCAGAAAATATTTTTAGATTGTAAGATTTTTTTTTCTTTTTAAATTTTAATTGTTTAGTGATACAAGTGTAATGGTTAGCAAGCTTGTCTTGCTAGGACTATTACGACTGAGTAGTGAGTTCGATCCTCACTAGGTACCCCCTACTTTCGGCCTTGTGCCACATCTAAGCTATGCTTGGTAAATCACTAATTAACTCATAACAGTGAGGAGAAAAATATTTTCATCATTCACTTTTTGTGTGTATGTCTCTCTATACAAATATATATCCATAGACATGTAAACCAGACTAGGCGAAAACATCTTCCGTTTCAAATTTAGACACCCCCCACCTTACCCTGACTTGACATCTATGAAAGTAACTCTATACTGATACTTATTATTAACACCCAACACACCCCTACCCAATTTAAACAATCCGCCCTGGCTGTTACCATGGAAATTTTGACTTCTATTATGAATATGCTATTAAAACATGTAAATTTCAGAAATAAGTTATTCCAAAAAAAATTTTGCTTGAAGATGGAACAGAGCTTACTTTAATTCAATTTAATTCAAATAATTATATTGAAGTTTTCGGCTCTTGTTTTGAAACATGAGACCTCTTATAAAAAGTTGAATTTTATTTTTTGGATTATATATATTTTTTATATATATATATATATATATATATATATATATATATATATATAACCAGACAAACCTACCAAGGTTTCACCTATGCATATCGTCAGGAAGGCTGGCTAAAAAAGGTAACAAAGAACAGAATACTTATAGTCAATAAACAAAAAATCATAACCACGTGACCAAATAAAGAAACAAACAAACTAGGTCTGTTCTACTTACTGTATTGAGCACTTTATTTAGTTATTTTGCCTACTCATATTGGGTTTTTTTTTTCTTTGGGCTTTGGACTTGCATGCTAGACGATTATTTTGGGGTAACGTACATGTTCTTGGTTCTTTCTTTTTTTTTTTATACCTTTTTTTTTCCCTTTGGTATTGGTTTGATTATTTGCAAATCAAAACACTAAAGGTTTTCTGAATAAATTTCTTGTAAGATTACTACAAATATATATATATATATATATATATATATATATATATATATATATATATATATATAGAGAGAGAGAGAAAACAAGTGAGAGACAGACAGAGTGTTGTCATAGGGATCAACACTGTATGGTGGCTTTAAATTTCATGCTCCAATGTGATATTCACATTTGGTCAGAATATTACATTAAAGTGTGAAACTGCCAATCGCCATGCAGTGTTGATTCTTATGTCAATACTGTCTAAACACTGCATAAGCACTATCTCTAATAATGAGACGCTCTTCTCTTGCGGACACAGCAAATTTTAACACATATATACATGCATAAAGTTAGCATAATTATCGAATTATTTAATTATTAAATTCAGTTAAACTTCTTTTAATTAGACTCTGTATCTGTCTATATTTCTCCAATGAGGTATTATATATACTATTTACATTATTTGGACTATTGTCCTCATCTTTGTCACCATATTTATTACATTTCGGCCTTTCAGTGTCTCTCTATATTTCTGAAATGAGGTATTATGTACATATTTACATTATTCGGACTATTGTCCTCATCTTTGTTGCCATATTTACCACAACATTTCAGCCCTTCAGTATCTGTCTATATTTCTGAGATGAAGTATTTTGTACACTATTTACATTATTCAGACTATTGTCCTCATCTTTGTCACCATATTTATTACGTTTCGGCCGTTGTACGCTCTGGCCTTCTTCAGATGGTTGCAATGTTGAACTGAACCCTTTATTTCATTCACTTGGGTAGACTGTTCTAGTTCCACATACCATGTTTAATGGATGTCAGTTATCAGTTATCTCCTGTTAATTCCCCTCTCCAAGTTCTCCACTACTTTAACAGAGTATTGAACTCACACTCTTTGGGTCCTGTCACTGGATCTAACCAATGCCTTTATCCACGTGCCCTTGAGCTTACTGATCAGGAGATTGGAGGGTCTTGAGGTGTGTGGAATCACCTCTTAATTGATGTTGTTCCTAGATCCACCCTAACTCAGGATGGTAGCACCTGTTAGGGGCCCAGTTGCATATAAGGAATCCCGCCAAACAAAAAGAAAACACTATCAATGTATAAAAATAAATTTTTATAATAAAATGACCAGCAATACATATTTATAGTAGAATGACTGACAGTACATTTTATCTGTAGTTGAAGGCAGACATTTGCATTCAAAATATTTAGATTTTGGTATTAAATAACCCATAGAGGTGTTGATATGCCACTAAACAACCAACTACTGGACAACTCAATTTTAGCCATACACTGTCAAGGAATAGTTTTGGGAATCTGCCATTGGACTGTCAAGCTGCAGTGAAACTTACATCTTCACTGGACACTG